CAGGGCTGGATTCGAACCTGCCACCTTAGGTGTATGTGGCTGGTGCCTTAGCCACTTAAGCCACAGGCACCGAACCAGCTTTTTAATTTTTATTTATTTTTTATTTTTTATTTTGTTAGAGACAGAGTCTCACTTTCACCCTCAATAGAATGCTGTGGCGTCACAGCTCATAGCAAACCCCCCCCCCCTTTGGGCTTAGGTGATTCTCTGCCTCAGCCTCCGGAGTAGCTGGGCCTGCAGGTGCCCACCACAACGCCTGGCTATTATTTGTGGCAGTTTGGCCGGGGCCAGGTTCAAACACACCACCCTTGCTATATGGGGCTGGCGCCCTACTCACTGAGCCACAAGCATTGCCCTGCATTCTGCTTTTTATTTACAGTCTTTATCTAAGGGTTCATTCATTCAGTAGAAATTTGTTGAGCAGCTTTTGTAGGCTAGGCACTGTGGAAATGCTAAGAAGACAGTGCTAAATAAGATATATGTGCTATTTGGTTTTTTTGAGGTCATAGTCTATGGATTTAGACTTTCTCGTTTTTTTCTCTAATTATGGGCACGGATATATCCACATTTGGGGGCCTGTTTCCTCTTTGGAAAGGCACTGAGTAAAGATACACATTTGAGAAATGAGGCAGATCACCTGGGTCATATAAAACTGGTGGCTGTAGAAACCTTTAGTATTAGACCTACACTGCCTCATGTGGTAAGTACAAGCTGCATATGACTATGAAGTACTTGGAATGTGGTAGTCAAATTGAGATGTGCTAGGAGTATAAGATACATATTAGATACAGAAGCCTTACCGTGAACAAAGAATGTTTAATAACTTATTAATAATTTTTTTGATACTGAAATTTCTTAAATCTCAGCTTAGCCTCCAGTGAGTTTCAGAACAACATATGTGACACTGTGATACCATTTTTCTTCCCAGCTTCTTCAGTGCCCTCATCCTGGTGGAAGGTATGGATATTGAGTCCTTACATAAGTGTGCTTTGGATGACAGGAGAGAACTGCACCAATTTGCCCAGGATGGGCTTATCTGTCAGGTAAATTTGGAAAAACATCTTTTCTTTTTTTTAATTGTTTGTAAGTAGTAGTGTGTTTTTAACTACTGAACAATTGTACTGCATAAAACTTTCAGTCTTGTATAATTCTACAATGCTCAGTAGAGGTTCTACGTTGTTAAATAGATTATTGGGTCTGGAAGAAGTGTCCTATTTGTTAGTCATCTGTATAGAGGTAAAATTGAATCTGTGAGAGTGATCCACTCGTGGAGATGATACAAGGACAAATGGGGCCCTTGGGTAAAACCTTGGGGGTTGCTGCACTATGGGGCCTGTGAAAGAAGAGGATGGGGAGAAATATTAACCTGGTATGGTTAGAAAGATAGAAAATGAGGGGAGATTAGCCAGGTGTTGTAACAGGCACCTGTGATCCTATCTACTTGGGAGGCTAAGGCAAGAGAATCACTTAAACCCAAGAGTTTGAGGTTGCTGTGAGCTGTGATGCCATAGCACTCTACTGAGGGTGACATAGTGAGACTCTGTTTCAAAAACAATAAAAAAAAAAAAAAAGAAAGAAAACGAGAGATCATGGAAAAGTCAAGAAGTATCAAGGTCAAATTTCTAAAGAGTCTTCATTTGAATATATATTCTATAATCTTAAATTAAGACTACTTAAAAATCAGTAGAAAAAATTGTGGGTAAAGAGAAGAATAATTGAGGTGGTTAGGAGTTTGATAAAAGTGTAATATCAGAATGGGAGAGTGAAGCCACTCTGTATGATTGAGGGCTCACTGAGCAGTATGAAGAATCTGGTTGAGGAATCTTGACCCTTTCTGTTGGTGACACAGATGTATTTTCTCCTCTCATTAGGATATGGACCGTTTGATGTTGACTTTTGGGGACATTCCACATCATGCCCCAGTGCTTTTGGCCTGGGCTCTCCTCCGTCACACCCTGAACCCAGAAGAGACAAGCAGTGTAGTCCGGAAAATAGGTGGCACAGCCATTCAGCTGAATGTATTTCAGTACTTGACCAGACTGCTCCGATCTCTTGCCAGTGGGGGAAATGATGTAAGTCTTAAGAATATTGGTGGTTGAACATGAGAATGGGCAAAGAGCAGGTAGAAGCATGATGATAGTGTAATAATTGTAATGGTGAAGTAGATAATGTTGTAACTAACCTTTTTGACCATTTGCTGTGCCCAGACACTGTGTTCAGGACTTTATGAACATATCTTATTTAACTCTTTTTTTTTTTTTTTGAGACGGAGCCTCAAGCTATCCCCCTGGGTAGAGTGCCATGGCATCATAGCTCACAGCAACCTCCAACTCCTGGGCTCAAGCGAGTCTCCTGCCTCGGCCTCCCAAGTAGCTGGGACTACCGGCACCCGCCACAACGCCCAGCTATTTTTGGTTGCAGCCATCATTGTTGTTTGGCGGGCCGGGCTGGGGATTCGAACCCGCCACCTTAGGTGTATGTGGCTGGCGCCTTAGCCGCTTGAGCCACAGGCGCCAAGCCTTATTTAACTCTTATAATATTTTCTTGTGTTAAAGGTTATCATCCTGTTTTATATATTAGGAAATTGAGACTCAGGTAGATATAATTTGTCAAAAGTAAAACAGTAGCCTGTAAGTGGTGGATATAGTTTGAACCCATTATGTCTGACTCTTTGCCAGTAAAGTTTATCTTCTGAAACTTTGTTTGGCCATTTTGACTGGAGAAATCGTTTTGAGGGGACTTACTCAACTGTAGCTCAATGAATTAGAAATTCTCTTGAGGGCGACCCGTATTGCTTAGTGGGTAGGGCGGCAGCCATGTACACCATGGGAGGTGGATTTGAACCCAGCCCTGGCCTGGCTAAACAACAGTGACAACTGCAACAGAAAAATAGCTGGGCATTGTGACGAGCACCTATAGTCCCAGCTATTGAGGCTGAGGCAAGAGGATCACTTAAGCCCAATAGTTAGAGGTTGCTGTGAGCTATGACACCATAGTATACTCCCAAGGGCGACAGTAAGACTCTGTCCCAAAAAAGAAAATAAGAAATTCTCTTTGAGTCTTGGGGTTTAATTTCAGTGGCATAGTTTAGTCAGCTTGTTTTGACATGCTAAAATTAAACCTCAGATTCAGTTATGTTCCTTCATATTTACTTAATGGAATTAAAAACTTATGTCCACACAAAAAACTTATACACAGGTGTTTATAGCAACTTTGTTCCTAATTGCCAGATTTGGAAGCAGCTAAGATGTCCTTCAGGGGAGGTGTAAGCAAACTGTGGTACATGTGGGATATTTACTGCTGAAAAGAAATGAGCTGTCTTCTCATTTCTTTCTGTTGGATCTGTGGGAAAAAAATTTAAAATGAAAAGAAATGAGCTATCAAATTATGAAAAGATGGCTGGGCATGGTGGCTCACACCTACAATCCTAGCACTCTGAGAGTCTGAGGAGGGCGGGTTGCGTGAGCTCAAGAATTTGAGACCAGCCTGAGCATGAATGAGACCCCATCTCTATTAAAAATAGAAAAATTAGCCAGGCATTGTGGCAGATGCCGTGGTCTCAGCTACTCAGGAAGCTGAGGCGTGAGGATTGCTTGAGCATGAGAGGTTGCTCAAGCTATGATAATGCCACGTAATCAACCCCAGGGTGACAGAATGAGATTCTGTCTCCAAAAAATATATAAAATCATGAAAAAACATGGAAGGGCTTGGCGCCTATAGCTCAACCGGCTAAGGCGCCAGCCACGTACACCTAAGGGGGCGGGTTCGAATCCCCAGCCCGGACCCGTCAAACAACAATGACGGTTGTAACCAAAAAATAGCCGGGCGTTGTGGCGGGCGCCTGTGGTCCCAGCTACTTGGGAGGTGGAGGCAGGAGACTCGCTTGAGCCCAGGAGTTGGAGGTTGCTGTGAGCTGTAATGCCACGGCACTCTACCCAGGGGGACAGCTTGAGGCTCTGTCTCAAAAAAAAAGAAAAAACATGGAGGAAACTTAAATGCATATTACTAAGTGAAACAGGCCAATCTGAAAAGCCTTTGTGGTATATGATTCCAACTATAGGATATTGTGGAGAAGGCAAAATTATGGAGACAGTAAAGAGATCAGTGGTTGCGTTAGGAGAGAGAATAGGTAAAGAGATTACTTAACGTGATTCTATAGTGGATATATGTCATTATATAATACTTGTCCAAACCCACAGATGGTACAACACTAACAGCAAACCCTAATGTAAACTATGAATTTTGGAGGATAGTTGATAACTTCAATGTAGGTTCATTAGGTTTTTTAGAGACAAGAGTCTCACTTTGTTGCCCTCGGTAGTGTACCGTGGTGTCACAGGTCACAGCAACCTCCAGCTCTTGGGCTTAGGCGATTCTCTTGCCTCAGCCTCCCGAGTAGTGGGACTACAGGCCCCTGCTACAACACTTGGCTATTTTTTGTTGCAGTTTGGCCAGGGCTGGGTTTGAACCCGCCACCCTCAGTATATGGGGCCGGCGCCCTACTCACTGAGCCACAGCAGCTGCTAGTTCATTAGGTTTTAACAGTGCTACCACTCTGGTGGGAAATGTTGAGAATGGGGGAGGCTTTTTTTTTTTTTTTGAGACAGTCTGACTTTTTTTTTTTTTTTTTTTTGAGACAGAGTCTCAAGCTGTCCACCTGGGTAGAGTGCCAAGGTGTCACAGCTCACAGCAACCTCCAACTCTTGGGTTTAAGCGATTCTCTTGCCTCAGCCTCCCAAGTACCTAGGGCTACAGACGCCCACCACAACTCCTGGCTATTTTTAGAGAGGAGAGGGGTCTCACTCTTGCTCATGCTGGTCTTGAACCTATGAGCTCAGGGCAATCCACCTACCTTGGCCTCCCAGAGTGCTAGGATTATAGGTGTGAGCCACCGTGCCCAGCTGGGGGAGGCTATTTTATGTGTGGAGCCAAGGGGTATATTGGAAATATTTGTACTTTTCGGCTCAGTTTTTCTGTGAACCTAAAACTGCTCTAAAAAATCAAGTCTAAAAAGAAAAAAATCAAAGAAAAGAAACTTTTGCCACAAGGCTCTACTTATAAGTACTGATTAGTTTATCTTGGTGGCCAGTCCAGGTGTTGTATCAATTTGTGTCAATACATATTGACTCTATTCTTTCTCTAAGCTAGATAGAGTTTTTTTCTGCCCCACATAAACTTTGATCATTTTGAAAATCGTTCCATTTTTATTTTATTCTTGGGTATAATATTTGTGGTTTCTGCTGCTTCTTTCTCCCTTTGTCTTCTTGATCTTGTAATAAATTAAGAAAATTATCAAGCTTCAGATTCCCTTCCCATTTGTTTACAAGGACTATCAGTACCTTTTTTCATTATTATAATAATGTCCTAGTATTGCAAAGATTATATTAATGCAGTAGGATTATGCTGAATCTAAGGAAGAGTTGTGTTATTGAGAATTATTCACTGATTCCTTCGCCATTCCAGTGTACCACCAGCACCGCATGCATGTGTGTCTATGGACTCCTCTCTTTCGTTCTCACCTCGCTGGAGCTTCACACACTGGGCAATCAGCAGGTTAGTGACAGGCTTTCATGAAGCTTCCTAGTACTGTTCAGCTTTGTAATCAAGTCCCTAAAATACCTCCATCTGATCTGATACTGTTACCTCATGTGTTGTCTTCTTTTGTTCATTTTCATTTACCATATTACAAACGATGCACATTAATTGTAGGGAAAACTGGATGATGCTGATAAAAAGAAAAAAGTATAATCTCATCACAGGGTAATTTCTTAACATATTGATGCGTTCGTTCCCTTCCAGTTTTGTATACATATATATATTTATTCTTGTCTATATATATATATATAATATACTGTTTTGTGTCTACATTTTTTCACTCTGTAGTGCATCTGTTCCGGATATCTGTTGGTGCTAATAAATGGGTTTGAAGGTAGTTGGGACTATAGGTACCCACCACGATGCCTGGCTATTTTTTAGAGATGTGGTCTCGCTCTTGCTCAGGCTGGTCTTGAACCTGTGAGCTCAGGTGTGAGCCACCATGCCCGGCCAACAATTTTGTTTGTTTTTGTTTAATTTTTTTGTTTTAAACATACATCTTTATTTTTATTATTTTTTCTTTTTTTTGTAGTTTTTGGCCAGGGGCAGGTTTGAACCTGCCACCTCTGGTATACAGGGCCAGTGCCCTCCTTAAGCTACACATACCTCCCCAGTTTTTTGTTTTAAGACTGAGTCTCATTCTGTTGCCCAGGCTAAAGGGCTGTACCATCAGCCTAACTCACAGCAACTTCAAACTCCCAAGTAGTTGGGACTACAGACATGTGCCACCACGCCTGACTTAATTTTTCTGTTTTTAGTAGAGACAGAGTCTCAATTTTTTGCTCAAGTCGTCTTGAACTTCTGAGCTCAATGGATCTTCTTGCCTCAGCCTCCCAGAGTGCTAAGATCACAGGCATGAGCCACCATGCCTAGCCTTGGAGCATTTTTTAAAATGAAACATTTCTACTTATACCAAAGAACACAGAATTGTGTGATGAACCCTCATGATCCCACCACCAGCTTCCAACAGTTATCAACTCATGACTAATCTTAATTTTATTTTGTCCTTTGCCTCCTTGATTATTTTGAATTAAATACTGGACATCTCATTTAATCTATGACTGTTTCAGTAAAATTTAAATTCACAACCATTATGAGGCCAAAAAACCCTAGGGTCTTCAGATGTCAAGTCAAGGTTCAAATTTCCAGTTGTCTTATAAATGTTATAAATTTGCCATAGGCTTCCTTGTTTAGATTAGGATCTGAATAAGATCCACATATTATAATAGGTTGATAAGTTTTTCAAGTTTCTTTTAGTCTATAACTGTCCATTATGGTAGCCACATGCCATATGTGCCTATTTAAATTTAAATTAACTAAAATTAAAAAAAAATCTCAGTGCTTAGCGCCTGTAGCTCAGCAGGTAGGGGACCACTCACATACACTGGAGCTGGTGGGTTTAAATCCAGCTCAGGTTGCCAAACAACAATGACAACTCCAACCAAAAAACAGCCAGGCATTGTGGCAGGCGCTTGTAGTCTCAGCTAAACTTAGGAGGCTGAGGCAAGAGAATCGCTTAAGTCCGAGAATTTGAGATTGCTGTGAGCTCTGATGCCATAGCATGCTACCCAGGGCCACATAAAAAAGAAATCTCAGGCCAGGTGCAATGGCTCAACACCTGTAATCTTAAAACTCTGGGAGGCTAAGGTGGGTGGGTTGCTTGAGCTCAGGAGTTTGAGACCAGCCTGAGAAAGAGCAAGATCCTTTCTCTATTAAAAGTAGAAAAATTAGCTGAACATCTTGGGTGGTGCCTATAGTCCTAGGTATTCAGAAGGCTGAGGCAAGAGGATCGCTTGAGCCCAGGAGTTTGAGGTTGCTGTGAGCTATGATACCATCATGGCACTCTACCCAGCATGGTAGACTAGGACTCCTTTTTTTTTTCTTTTTGCTGTTAATTAAGTAATTCGTGCATAGATCATAAGACTCTGTCTTAAAAAAAAAAATTAGACGGCACTTGTACCTCACTGGGTAGGGC